CCCTGCTGCCTTCTTACACCGTATAATATGATTGCAATGATTAGCAGGGGATAGGAAAACCAGCCACATCCACAGCCATTAGCAGTTACACTGTTGGGTACTAGTTGCTATCATTTCCTTAATTAGCTACTAAAAGGTCTTAAGAGGCCCAAATTCACAGTCTTAGTCTTATCAACGCCTCTCTAACCACTAAGCAAATAAACCCTAAGTATATTATCAACCTAGACTACACCTGAAATTAATATCCAATCTGCTATAAAGAAGTAGAAATATACAATAAATGCTTTGCTTGAATGATCTGTCTTCACAGTGATATTCTTCTCTACAGCAAAAATTGTTATCTATATTGCAGTATCTATAGAGCAAAAATGAACCATTCTCCAAAAAAAGGAGACAAGAACACAGTATCAGATTAAGTAGCAGAGCACTGCTACCTCTAAATTATCTTTAATTTAGCTGTGAAACGTTGAGCAAGTCAGTCATCTGCTACCTCATCCATAACAAATTCAAAGAATGATACGCAAGTGTGGTACAATTTTTCATTCAGCACTTTAAATCAAAGCATAGTAGTTAACCTTAAATAAGCTTTATAACTGAAATAGCTAAATGCAGTACCCAAAAAGTATTTAATAAACGGTATTGTAAAAAACACTCAAGCTTTTTTTTTTTTAAAAGATGCATTACCTTGCACTAAAAAGAAAAAAGTCCTTCCTTTCTTAAGTGGATAAATTAAAAATAATTTTTAACAATGCTGAACACTGTTAAACTACAAAATTAGTCATTAAGTGACTCAATTAAACCTCACAGCTCTGTGGCTGGAGATGATGTGATATACGGTCTGAACAACTTAAGTTTATTTCTGTGGGGTGTGTACATCACATACCCTCCAAACACTCAGCGTTGAGCCAGATGAAGTGACACATGTTCCCTGGTATACAGTAGGTGTGGCTGAATAACTTAAGGCCAGGTGGCTGACTTCAGAACCACCTGCTGAAATACAGCCGTGATTTGCCCTCTCAGCCTGCCCCCAGCCCTTCCAGGCTGTGGACCTGTATCACTTTCTGCCATTTTGTTTCCAGATCCCCTGACTTCTCCTGTCAGTTCGGGGGCTTAGTCCATTCATGTTACTGAACTCCTTTGCTATTCTCCATCTAGTCACATCCAACTGCTACCTAACAGGTCTTTTCCCCGTTTTCTTCATCATTTTGCTCTACTGTTTCCTGCTCTTCTCAGCTACCAGAAAACAACAACGCAAGAGCGATCTACTTCACAGCCATAGTCAGCTAATCAAGACATTCCTTTCCATCTAAAGAAAAAGAGAAAAGAATCAAAGCAGGCCAGGATGATCTTTGGCTTTTCAGAACTTGTCATCACAGTCTGATACCCAGAGGTTCATTCATTGTTATAAAAGATATTTCATGGTTTCTTTTACTTCTAAGTTTGGAGTTACTACAGGTAGTTGGTCTATAGAGAATTTAAGTTTTGATAACTATAGCATTTTAAGGTTAAAAAGTTAACACAAGACAAGGTGGCTGCTTTCTCAACCCTTAAAAAAATTTACTGCCAAAAAACTTGCAAAATTTTCTATTAAGATCAGACCTTAAGGGGAGTTCCTGGGTGGCCTAGTGGTTAGGATTCCAGACTTTCACTGCCACAGCCTGAGTTCAGTCCCTGGATGGGGAACTGAGATGCTGCAAGCTGTGTGCCACAGCCACAAACAACAACAAAAAAATAGATCTTAAAATAAATGATCAGTGCTCCAAAGAAGGACATAAAAATATGGCCAAAAATCAGATTAAAAGATATTTAGCATCACCAATCATTAAGGAAGTCAAAACCACTGAGATATTACTTCATACCCATTAGGATGGCCATACTTTTTTAAAGAGAGAAAATGTGTCTGGCAAGGCTGTGGAGAAGTGTTGGTGAGGATGCAGAGAAAATGAAACCTCTGCACTGCCAGTAGGAATGTAAAATAGTACAGCCATTGTGGATAACAGTATGGCAATTTCTAAAAAATTAAACACAGAATTAGCACATGATTCAACACTTTCACTTCTGGGTATATAACCAAAAGAAATGAAAGCAGAAGACTCAAACAGATTATCTGCACACTCATGTTCACAGAAGCATTATTTGCAACAGCATAAAAGTGGAAGCAACACAGTATTCACAGACAAATGAACAGATAAACTATAGTCTATACATACAAGAGAATGTTATTCAGCCTTAAAAAAGGAAGAACATTTAACATGCTACAACATACATAAACTTTGAAGGCACTATGCTAAACAAAATCAGCCAGTCACAAAGGGACAAATGTCATATGATTCCACCTATATGAGATATCTAGAGCAGAAACAAAATTCATAGAGAAAGAAAGTAGACCAATGGTTGCCCAGAGCTGAGAAGAGGGGAGAATGGGAAATGTTTAATGGGTATGCAGTTTTGCTTGGGGAAGATAAAAAAGTTCTGGAAATGGATGGTAATGGCAGCTGCATAACAATGTGAATGTATTAATACTCGATGCCACTGAAGCGTACACTTAAAAATGGTGAAAATGACTAATTTTATGTTATGTGTATTTTACCACAATTGAAAAAAAAAAGAATGAAAAGTTGACGTAAGTTAGCTTTTTTCACATACTACTCAGTTATCTATGGCCACTGTACAAACCGAATTTGATGCTAGAACAGACAGCACAAGTTATGCAAATGTACTAATGAGAGCTTGGAAACATCTCTACAAATCTGAAAACATCAGATTCTCCTCACAGAGGTCTGTTGGGGAAAGCTGAGAAAAATAGGCTGTCAATAAAAAGATCCCTCATGGTCACACAAATCACTGAATAAATATTCTTGAGAATTTTAAACACTGATGCCTCCATGCCTAGATCCATGCTATTCCAAGATATACCAAGATATACCAAATATATTCCTTTTCCTAGCCTGAAACACATATCACATACCTCCAGAGCTCACTCTCTGATTTCATCCAGATCTCTACTCAAAAGTCCCCTTATCAAAGAGGCTGACATTGACCACCGTATTTAAAAGAGTGCCAGCCCAGGCTGGATGCATGAGACAAGTGCTTGGGCCTGGTGCACTGGGAAGACCCAGAGGAATCGGGTAGAGAGGGAGGTGGGAGGGGGATCAGGATGGGGAATACATGTAAATCCATGGCTGATTCATGTCAATGTATGACAAAAACCACTACAATATTGTAATTAGCCTCCAACTAATAAAAATAAATGAAAAAAAAATTTTTTTTTTAAAAAGAGCATGCTCCATCCTTCTCTCTCCTCTCACTGTGCTTTATTTCTCTTCATAGCTCTTACCACTATTTGATACTTGCCAATTGTCCTTCTCTATCAACTACAATGTAAACTTCAAAACAAAGACGGCCTCTTTTGTGTGCTATTGGAAACCCAGCACCTAGAACACTACCTGGTACACTGCTGCTGCTGCGTCACTTCAGTCGTGTCCAACTCTGTGCGACCCCATAGACGGCAGCCCACCAGGCTCCCCCGTCCCCGGGATTCTCCAGGCAACAACACTGGAGTGGGTTGCCATTTCCTTCTCCAATGCATGAGAATGAAACGTGAAAGGGAAGTCGCTCAGTCATCTCCGACTCTTCGCGACCCCATTGACTGCAGCCTACCAGGCTCCTCTGTCCATGGGATTTTCCAGGCAAGAACACTGGAGCGGGGTGCCATTGCGCTCCCCGACCTGGCACACTAAGGTGGCCAGTGAATATCTGCTAATGGAATGACTGGATGGATGTTTACAGTTTCATAGGTCATATTGCCCTCTTGGCCTTGGTACTATTTTACCATTTACCAGCATTGTAGTAGCCACTGCCTCAACGCCATCCAGAGTATCCCTGGTTTAAGCTTCACCGTTAAGTTGAAGGAACACCTAGAGTCACACAGAAGCCCGTAGTAGCATGTCAAAAAACTGCTCCTCGACTCACTTTCTAAATCAGTTCAGTTCAGTGGCTCAGTCGTGTCTGACTCTTTGCGACCCCAAGGACTGCAGCACGCCAGGCTTCTCTGTCCATTACCAACTCCTGAGCTTGCTAAAACTCAGGTCCATGGAGTTGCTGATGCCATCCAGCCATCTCATCCTCTGTCATCCCCTTTTGTTGTTTGTTTACTAAATACATTAAATGAACACAGCGTATCTGTTCTTCGCGATGAGAGATAAAAAATAAGCACGAAGAATGTATCTCTAACAATGCTTTAAGACAAAAAGATATGGTGAACTGGATTATATTTCACGCATTTTGGTAAATGGTATAAGGCTAGCACGCTAGCCTGAAAAACCATAGGATTTTTCCCTTTGCAACTTTTGAGAGGATTTGGGGTAATAGACAAATGCAATATAGTCAAAAACTAATCAATTACTTGGCATAACGAATACACACTCCGGAGCTCTAGACGAATATGTTAAATCTCTGGATGAGGGAAGAAGACTGACTCCAAAAATATACCTAACTTTATTTCAAAGTCAAAAGTCTTCAATTACGAATGCATCCCAGTGAAATGTCCCACCAGAGCTCATGCAAGTTACAAGTTTTGAGAGCATTTTATAACTGCACTTGATAGTCTTCCGTCTGCAGCCAATGATAATTTTCGTAGAAAAATCTTTAACCAGAAAACTGCAATACATCCCCCACCCCAACCCACCCCCCAACCTGAGAACGCTTAGGAAGGCCCATTACGCTACAGTCTCCAAGTGGAAGGAGACTCATCCAGGGAACACACGTGTTCTGCCCCGCATCGAAAATGGCAATAGCAGGTGTTAAGCTGCCCATCGCATCGAGGTTCCGGGCAGGGGGCATAGGGGTGCGCAGGAATCGAGCTTGGCTCCCGGGGACCCTCCGGCCCCCTCCCGCGACAGCGACCCCCGCCCGAGCTGAATCAAGGGGCCGGCCTCCTCCTCTTCACTCCGGCCCGGGCCTGCCCCCGCGGGCTCACACCCGGCCAACGCAGATCCTACCTGAGCTCTGCCCCCAGCTGCAGGGCTGTGGGGGGAGGCGGGAGGAGGCGTGGCCTTCCAGCTCGCCCGTCGAACTCCCCCGTGCGGTTGTTGTGACTTTCCCTCTCGGGAATCCGCGCCCCGATCAAGTTCAAGTTGCACTTCCGGGGTCCGCGGGAGACTGCAACGTCATCGCGCACGCGACGCCGACGGCCGCGACCGGCCGGAAGTGGGCGGGGCGTGGCCGCCCGGTTGGTGCCCGGGGCTGTAGGAGGGCTGGGATGGTGAGGTAGAGTTGCCCTGTTGTTTCCCCGTGGGCTCTCTTCTCCTTTCTTTTACCCTTTTCTGCTGAAGTAAAGGACACTCTCCTTCCTGGGTGACTTTAGAGGACGCGACACCGTGAAGCCTCGTTCTCCAAACGGAATTAAAAAAAACGATTGCGAGAGTGCTCTTGTAGCTAGTTGTCAACTCTCCCACACATGGTTTATCCCGCTTCATTCAACTCCAGGAATGACAGGAGGTGGGAAAGTCTAGACTGGAAGATTAAATTTGCCTCTAAATTATGACTTATGTAAAGTAGGTAGTTAAGCATAGGCTCCCTGACCCTGCTCTTTTTCCTATCTCCTGGCTGCTAATAGGATGGATTGGAAAGAGCTGTATAAAGCTATGGTTCCCATTGCTAACAATGAGTTGGATCTAAACTCGGCCTTTATGGCAAAAATCCCTGATAGTAAAAATTACTCATGAAAACCCCTGAAAGTGAAGTCGCTCAGTCGTGTCCGACTCCTAGTGACCCCATGGACTGTAGCCCACCAGGCTCCTCCGTCCATGGGATTTTCCAGGCAAGACTACTGGAGTGGGCTGCCATTTCTTTCTCCGGGGGATCTCCCCAACCCAGGGATCGAACCCGGGTCTCCTTCATTGCAGACACATGCTTTACCCTCTGAGCCACCAGGGAAGCTCCTAAGTGGTCCACAAAGTACAGAATACCTGACGTTAAGCCTAAACTCAAGGTCTTAATTCTAATGCGCACTTGAATGTGAGACCTCTTAGCTATTTTATATGTTAGAGTGAAAAGGGAGTTTGTAGCTATCTGGGCATTTCAACAATCCTGATAAATCCAAAATGCAACTCAGTTTTGCTTAACCATTCAACAACATTTGACAAAGTTAATCACATCCTGCTTTTTGAAACTTGAAACAGCTTTTTCATTTGAATTTTGTGAACTCACAGAGTTCTTCTGATTTTTCTTTTGCTGGATTCTTCCTCATTTCTTAGTGTTAATGTGCCCTAGCGCTCTTCCCCTCTTGAGCCACCTTCATTCCCCATGTGATCCCTTCTTTCCCGCCTTCCTCGTTTACATAGCATCACTATGCTGATGACTTCCAAATATCTGTTTCCAGCCATGAATTTGATTTCTGTACTAATGTGTCTGATTTCTATACTAATCATGTATTTGATTTCTATACTAATTTCTATAGTAAAGTATCTAACTTCTGAGTCAACGTTTCCACTAGGATGTTTAACATGTATTTCAAAGTATCTCCAAAACCTGTTTCCCTGTTCCTATTGTGTATCTTTACATCTCAGTAAGTGGTGTGTTGATTCTTACAGTTGTTCAGGTCATAGTTTGATTCTTTTTTTTTCTCAAGTTTCATATCCAGTCAGTCCTTCAGAAAAATTCTGTTTGCTCTGTCTTCAAAAGGTATCCTAAATCTAACCAGTTCTTACCACCTCTGCACCTACTATGCTGGTCCTCAATGGGTGTTCAAAGTGTCTGTTCTAAATGTTCTGTTCTTACCTCTGTACAATCTAGTCTCCAATTGGCAACTGTAGAAATCCACTTAAAAAGAAAATTAGAATTTGTTCCTTCCCTATTCAAAACATTTAAGATGTTCTCTACTAAAAATAAAATCCAAAATTGTTTTCATACATCCATAAGATCCTGAATGATCTGACACTGGGCCACCCCAAGCTGCTGTTGAAGAAAGCGGTGGTAAGAAATTTGGAGTGAGGCATGGGAACTTGGCCAGTAATTCGGAGTTTTGGAAAAGGTAATCCTAACCGTGATTTACCAACTCTCTTGCTTGGACAACAAGAGACTTGAATGGTATTCTTCAGTGACAGAGTACAGAGATAATAACTGTCAAGTTTTCCCAGCAACTAGTAGACATGTTGGTACATGGCTAGGTGTTTTCCTTTGCTAGGGCTGCCATAAGAAAGTACCTCAAACCAGGTGGCTTAAACGATGGAAATGTGTTGCCTCACAGCTCGGGAGGTTAGAAGTCCAAACCAAAGTGTATCCAGCGTTGGTTCCTTCCAAGGGCTATGAGGAAGAATTTGTTCCTTGTCTCTCCCTCGCTTCTGCAGGGATGCTGACAATCTTTGATGCCCCTTGCCTTGTAGCTACATCACCCCAATATCTTTAGCTTCACATGGGATTCTCTCTGTGTGCCGTCTCTGTGTCCAAATTTCCTTATTATAGGGACATCAGTCATATTAAATTAGGGCCCACCCCAGTGACCTCGTTTTAACCTGATTACCTATCTAATGACTTTATTTCCAAATAAGGTCATGTTCTGAGGTACTGGGCTTAAGATTTCATGTATCTTTTTGGAGAGACACAAACTCTAGGGTAGAATTATTTTGAAGAAAGGGAGAGGAGAAACTCTAGTCTAAAGGAGCAAACCAGTCAGTAGAACAAGGTTGTTTGAAGTAAGACACAAGAAGAGGAACTACATGGAAAGTTAGAGACGTTGGCTGAGCATTTGTCCCATGTATCATGGAAAGGCAGTGTTGGAATTTCTGGAGTTGGGTGAACCTCCAGAACAAAAATGTACAAAAGTACTTGATGACAGAAAACACCAGCACCTGGACATTTTTACTGAGGGAAGGAAGCATGGTCACAGTTTATGACAGTCTGTTCTTCCCACTCTTGAGGTGACATTGAAGGACCTCAAAGTAACAGAATAAGTGTGGACCATATAGAAGTAAAAGATGCAGAAGCTGAGACAAAACAAATAATTTTCATTTCCTTCCAGCCATATTTGTGACTCAGGAGTGTGATGGGAAAGAACACAGTTTAGAGTGAATTAGAGATTTCCAGTCCAATATGTAAAGAGTTTGGAGCATGAAAATCAGCATTTTTAATCTCACGACAAGAAAGAAAAGCCTGAAAAACTAAATTCAACAGCTCTTTTTAGATCCTTTAGAGAATCAAAGTCAGAAAACTGCTGCGCCTCAAATTAGAAAGACAGGAAAGGAGTTAAAGAAAAGCATAGCTTAACAGGAATCAAACCCCATTCCTGCCAGAGACACTTAGAGGGCCCCAACAAACCTTGTGCACACCAGGACCCAGACACTCCACAGAGACTGAGCCAGAACTCTGTCTGAGTGTCTACTGAGGAGATGCGAGTCAGCAGTGGCCTGCCGCAGGGACAGGGGCTCTGGGTGCAGCAGACCTGGGTATGGCATGAGCCCTCTTGGAGGAGGTCGCCATTAACCCACCATAGAGCTGCTAGAACTTACAGAGGACTGGGAAATAGAATTTTGGAGGGCACAAACAGAACATTGTGCACTAGGACCCAGGAGAAGGGAGCAGGGACCCCACAAGAGACTGACCCAGACTTGCCTGGGAGTGTCCAGGAGTCTCAAGCAAAGGCACGGGTCAGCGGTGGTCTGTTGCAGGGTTGGGGGCACTGAGTGTAGCAGTGCATGCATGGGACCTTTTGAAGGAGGTCGCCATTGTATTCATTACCTCCACCATAGTTTGGCCTCAGGTGAATAACAGGGAGGGAACACAGCCCCACCCAGCAACAGAAAATAGGATTAAAGATTTACTGAACAGGGCCCTGCCTATCAGAATGAGATCCAATTCACCCCTCAGTCAGTCTCTCCCATCAGGAAGCTTCTATAAACTTCTTATCCTTCTTCATCAGAGGGCAGACAGACTGGAAACCACAATCATAGAAAACTAACCAGTGTAATCACATGGACTACAGCCTTGTCTAACTCAATGAAACTATGAGCCATGCTGTGTAGGGCCACCCAAGATGGACAGGTCATGGTGGAGAGT